ACCAAAGCTGAAGGCAAAAAGAAAGAGAGAGAGAGAGAGAGAAGCAGTTTCAGTTTGTTTAATCACACACTCATTGACAACTCTTTTCATTAATTTTATCTTTATCTTCTTCTTCTATCTTTTCTTTTTATTTCTTGGTTTTCAATTTTATCACCAGAAACGCCCCTATTATTTACAGTTTTGATTTGATTGATCTATAGATCTAACGGTTTCAATTCCACATGTATTGCTCTTTCGTTTAGACCTTCGTCGTCATCATCGGTTTTGGTTCAATAGTCGAACAGAGAGATTGCACAGATAGCCGAATTTGTGTTGTAAGTTTTTCACTTTCCATGTTTTGGTTTTGATTGGTTCTGTGATTGATTTTTTTTTAATTAATTTACGCATGTATGGATAGTGAATTTTAGTGTAGGATTAACAGTGGAATGTAGAGATATATTTGACTCTTTCTGTTTTTGCAAGAACTGTGTTGGTTGGTTCTGTCATTTTGTTAACTTTAGAGTTTCAAAGTCAAGAGCTTGCATAAGGGACTTGTGTCTTTTTTTCTGTTTTAAGTACAACGGGGCAAACACCATCAACTTGTACCGATGCTAACAGGTAAGCGTACAGCAGATTTAGAAGTTTTACTGTGTGAAATTGATAAATTTTGAAATGACAATGTGATCATTTAATGATTACTTTTGGTTTCAGGGTAAGCATATGAGAACAAGTTGTAGAGTTGGCTATAAATGATTGAGCTGATGGAATCTATGCTTCCTTCTTTCACTTATATATTTACATAAATATAATTTCTTTATGGCTAGTCGGTAGATTAGATTTATACAAGTTATTGAAATTCTGATCTCTTATTGCTGCTTACTTAGTTTGTTAAATGTACAGTAACAGCAACATTTATTAAAGTCTGTCCTAATAAATTTTGTAACCCATTGCTTTATACTCCCTCCGTTTCGTTATAACTGTCGTTTTAAACTTCTGCACACTTTTAATAAATCCATTTTATCTCTCTTCAAACTGAGTTTTTCCTCTGATATTACAAGTGAAAAAATTTTGTTTTTTCCGCTACATACACGTGTGAAATATTAAAATAATTTAATATGTATATATTGCCATTTTCTCTCTCCCATTTACTTCTATTTCTTTTATTATGTTCGTCACTCACTTCCATTTCTTCCGGACTGCTAGATTGAGTAATGTTGGAATTGCAACATTAAGGTCTGACCCAAATTGAGTAAGGGCAGCCACTTCGCGATTGAAAATCTCAATAACCTAAACAAAAATGCAACTTTATCTTTAAAAAAAAAAAAAAAGAAAGGAAAAAGGAAAAAAAAAAAAAAAGGCTACATAGTACACAAGAGATCATAGCATATGTGCTTTTAATTGAAAGAGTTCTTCCTTCCTTTTTGCAGGTTCTACAACCTTAGTAATCAAGGATTGATTCGCATGTGTAGAGGGCTACTTGGTTTCACATCATGAATATTCTCATGCTCTTCACCTGTGTTGAAAGAGAAAGAGAGAAAAGAGATTAGAGGCAGAGATAGAGATAGAGATAGAGAAAGAGAGAGATGAGATGTGGGCGATAAAAAATGTAGAAGAGATGAGATGAGGGGAAGAGATAGAGAAAGAGAGAGGAGATGTGGGTCATAGAAAAAGTGAAGAGAGAAGATGAGGGGCAAGAGAGAAAGAAGATGTGGGTGAGAAACATTGAAAGAGAAAAGATAAGGGCAAATGTCGAGCAAGAGAGAGAAGATTGAGTTGGTAATGCTATTAATTTTGGAAAAAACTAATACCCTCGAAACAACAATTATAAAGAAACGAAAGAGTATATAAGTTGCTTTCTCTTATCAATGATTTTGTGCTAAAATGGACACCGAAGCTGTTATTTCTGACCCGAGATGCCAAAATTTGTACAACCGATTAAGGTTGTGACTTCTGAAATCAAAAGTACAGTTAGGCACACAATAATGGTTATTAATTATCCCATTACATTAAATTCCATATTTATCCTTTGGGAGCACGCCATTTAGCAGTTAATAAAAGACACCCACTATATGAGAAATCTCTAATTTATTATTTTAGGATACTATTTATATTGTAAATTTTTTAAATTAGGATAATACATTCTAATTTATATCTAATATATTTAAGAGATTCAATATATCATTTTTTACCTATACAATGTATATATCTTTATAGTAGCTATCAACTAATTGAAACATCTAATTATTCAAATAAATACAGTGTCAAAACAAATCTCATAAACAACCCATATAACACGTGCAGGCTTTTAATCCAGAGTAATACTAGTCTTACGAAAAGGCAAACAAAGAGTTAAATTCAGCCCTTGAAATTAATGATTGTCTCTTTCTCTCTTTTTTTTTTTCTTTTAAGGGTTAGATTTGACTCTTTATATAGTATTTTATATGTCTCTTTGTAAGGTTAGTATTACTCTTTAATCTAATTATAGATAAACTTGAATGTTGTGGTCTCACCCAATTGGCTCCCATCAAATCAAGCTGTCATCAACAGAGGGCCACTTGGCACAACTCCAATAAGTCATCTGAATTTGAGGAAAAAACAGTTGCCACGCGTTGCAATTTCTTCAAGCCAACAAGCAAATAATAGCAACAGTATATAAATTGACCATTGATACACATGGATTCGAATCTTCAGTCATTATTTTTCCACGTAAATAAAGCATTATTTTATCATTATACGTTTACTAGGTAATATCAAAAAAATAATTAAAAAATAATAAAATAACAATAAAGGTAAAACTTACTTACAACATGGGAACCATTCTAAAAATTCTTTCTTCTTGTCAATCTTTTATTTATATTTTTTTAAACATATATTATCATTACATTACAGACACTCTCATAAACACCTCACACTAGATTCATAACAATTTTCGTCGTGCATATTTTGTTATATATATAAAATTTAACATATTAATTATTAATCCTTTGTTGATTCAATCATGATTTAAATATTGTTTTGATAATCTAAAAGATGTCAAATAGGTCGAATCGGTTACATGGTAGAAAATTGTATAATTGAATATGGCATGTATAAAATAATTCTTATGTTAATACAATTTTAACATAACATACAAACGCAATGTGTAGGAAATTCGTAAGACATCCTTCTGAAATATATCGTTAATTAATTTAATTAATAAAAGGATGAAAGTGTTGATCGAGTGATGCTAATTAATTTTATTATGAGACTAACTAATATAAAAGTTAAAGTAAATATTGAATATTGATTTAAATTAATCAGTGAATATTTATGATTATTTTATAATGTTATTAAGTAAACAATTGATACAATTAAATTACTAAATTACTCAAGTATTAATAAACTACTATACCTCATGATATTTTTTTTATATTTTTATTAATCAAATTAAAAGTAAACAAATTGATAAAAGTTATTAATGTCAAGAGTGCTTCAAATTGTGTTGGAATGAGAGGCTTAGAGCTTTGCCCAAATAGAAGCAGCACCATCACCGTCACGTGTTGGCTGCTTAATAGCCACCCAAATTGGCAACAAAATAAGTAAAATAACACATAAAATTGATCACGTAACTGAAAATCTTTTTGGCCAAAAGTAAAAGAAAATCATGTTAGCGCAAGCCGTATAAATAAAAAATTAAAAAAAAAAAATTTGACTTTTGTTTTTGTGATAAAAAGTGTTTGAATTGCGTGCACTTCGACTAATCCTCTAACGCCTTGAAATTAACGATCAAATAAATTCTCTAGTATTTGCAATTGAAAAGAATCAAATTAAAGACATCTTGAATAATACATTCAAGAGTCCGTCTCACCTAACCCCGTTAAGGGTGGTTAATATCCTTCATTATTTCTTGCTCTGAGATACCCATATCCACAGCCTGAGTGCCCAGATGTCACCTCCACCACGTTAAAACAAAATAACAAAGAGCTTAAACAAGAAGTCGTAGTACTGTCTTTATAGTAGGGCCTGAACCATTTCTGCAAAATCATCCTTTTGAATTTTGACTGGTAATAATACATACACAGAAAGAGAAGAGCTGTCTCATGTTTTTGCTTTAAAAATTCATATTAATGAACTTGCTTATAAATCTTTATTTGCGATATGAAATATGATAGAACATAACATATCTTTATGAATATCTACAACCTCCAAGCAATCTATACTTGTCTTTTAAGTTAGAAGAAGCCAAGTCCAACATCTACAGTCAAAATTACATCAAAATTTTGTGATATATTAATTACAATACCATTTTAAAATATGCTTCTAAAAATTACTTTAGGTTGTGGCAAATGACAGTAGTTGCGTGTTAAGGCCAAAACTATATCGAGCCATATTAATTGTCTTCAATGGTTGAATGTGAAGTCTATATCATAGAAAAAATCTAACAAATAGTTGTAGACCGACACTGAAAATTAAGCTCAAGTTGAAGTTGAAGCTCCATATAAAACCTAACCCATATATTATCATCACCAATAAGAGTTTGAATTTTGGCAGCCTAATATCAACCACAACAAAACTCACTTGAGAAAGACAATTATAAATTGGAAAGAATAAAGTTGTGCTGAAAGGACAAATCCTTTTCAGTAGAAGAAGTGTATACCACAATTCATCTAGTGAGGCCAAAACTCAGTACAAAACATTATTTGTACGCAAACAAATGACATGACAACATAGCAAAGAAAATGCCATTTTATTTTCATAATTAAAATTAATTACACAAGAGAGTTTAATGGCTTTATAAATAAGTCAAACTTTTGTACTGTTAAATAGTTCGTTGTTTTGTGAATAATTAGTTTTAAAACGTGAATTAGATGGTGGTCATTACTCATTTATGTAAAAATCTGTTGTCAACATGATTATAAGTTATAACTGCACTAAGATTAATTAAAAAAAAAAAAAATTAATCGAATTTTTGTTTATTAAAAAATCCTGAATATTTATATACAATATTTAGTTCGCTGTATCCTCACCAAATCAGCATTCATTTCATACACTTAAAAATTTTCCCTCTCGAAAACAAACCACAAACCCTCTGAATTACTTTACTCCCGTAATTTTAATTTTGTAGCCATGGAAACTCCTCCTTCTCCAAGAAAAACCATTCCTTCATTCACGATCCCAGTTGATTCTGAAAACAAAGCAACTCAGTTTCATCCATTTTCACTCACTTCTCCTCACATGCTTGCCTTTCACCTTGCATGGCTCTCTCTCTTCTCTTGTTTCTTCTCCACCTTCTCCATCCCTCCTCTCATTCCCATCATCCGTGAAGACCTCAAACTCTCCCAAGCAGACATCGGCGCCGCCGGCATCGCCTCCTTTGTGGGCTCCATCTTCTCCCGCCTCGCCATGGGACCCGTTTGCGACATGGTGGGCCCACGCATAGCCTGCGCCACGCTCTCTCTCCTCACTGCACCCATCGTTTTGGCCACCTCTTTAGTCTCTTCACCAACCTCCTTCATTCTCATTCGCTTCCTTATGGGATTTTCTCTGGCGAACTTTGTAGTAAACCAGTTCTGGATGAGTTCCATGTTCTCCGGCTGCGTTGTCGGCCTTGCCAACGGAGTCTCCGCCGGGTGGGCCAACACGGGTTCCGGGTTGGCCCAGTTAGTCATGCCACTCATATTCACAGCTATCTCCCACTTCAACGTGCCGTCATTCACTGCATGGCGTCTCGCCTTTATTGTTCCTTCAATGTTCCAAGCTTTAACGGCCATTTTAGTCTTAATTTACGGCCAAGACCTGCCGTCCGGAAACTACAAAGAGTTCAAGAAGACAAGAAATAACTCAAAAGAAGGAGATGATAACTTTCTCCACGTTCTTTTCAACGGTTTGAAGAATTACAGAGGGTGGATACTGGCTTTAACGTACGGATACAGTTTCGGGGTGGAGTTGACGATTGATAATATTATAGCGCAGTATTTTTATGATAGGTTTAACGTGAATATTCAGATGGCCGGGACGATTGCGGCGACTTTCGGTTTGGCGAATTGGTTTTCGCGGCCGATGGGCGGGGTGGTTTCGGACGCGATGGGGAGGAGTTTCGGGATGAGAGGGAGGCTGTGGGGGTTGTGGGTGGTGCAGACGGTGGCTGGGTTGCTGTGTGTGTCACTCGGACGAGTTAGCTCGCTCTGGAGTTCTATTGTTGTCATGTGTGTGTTTTCTGTGTTTGTTCAAGCCGCTTCTGGCCTCACGTTCGGCGTCGTTCCTTTCGTTTCCAAAAGGTGAGTTCAGTTCAGAATCTTGGTTAGAACTGTTAGATGGTGACAGTTGGAAAAGCTCTCTACTGTATAGCTGACACGTGTACTCTTTTCGTTAATGAATCCAAAATTATTTTCTTCTTTTTATTGTCAGTCTAACAGTAAAACCGGCATCGTATTGGAGTCATATGCCTCATAATGGGATGAGCTGTATGTAACACCCCCTTCTAGGAGGGAGACAGATTACATTACAGAGCTATCATGCAAAATAAGAGTAATACATACCTTAATCACTTTCCCTACATATTTCTCTTCCTCACATTTGTTGAATATAATAGAAAAGTGAATAAGACTAACATTTTAACAAATATGAGTAAGAAAAGTGAACAGAGGAATGAGTAAGACTAACCTTACTCAAAACTTTTATCAGATCACTGGGGGCATCATTCACTGTGATCCCCATTTTTACAGCCTTTTTACTCAAATTGAGAAGCATTCTTCAAAACAATAACCAAAGAAATGCAAAATGATTTTGCTTCAAGTGGAACTAACTAATAAATTTTGACCCATCCTGTCGTGTGTTTTTGTATGAATGCAGGTCACTGGGAGTGATATCGGGAATGACTGGGAGCGGCGGGACGGTGGGGGCAGTCGTCACCCAGATGCTGTTATTCTCGGGCTCGGAGTTTTCTAAGCAAACAAGCATTTCCCTAATGGGGCTTATGATGATTATTTGCACTCTCCCCCTCACCTTCATCTACTTTCCTCAGTGGGGTGGTATGTTTTGTGCTCCTTCCTTGGATCCAAATTCGGCCGCTTATCAATACCACCTGCTCCAGTAGAGAAAGTTTTCAATGAAACAAATGTATTACCTCATTTGTACATTCATTCAATAAAATTCTTTAACATGTATATTCAAGATTTTCTCACTCTAACAAGATTCTGTTTCTCAAGAAATTGAGGAAATAATTGAATTTTGATCATCCAAAAAGAGTATCATTATCATATTACAACACTGAAGTTCTAAGGTACTAAAAATCAGATAGCCCGCAAACTGCTACAAAGTGAAGGATAGCGTTTATGGGAAGAGAAGAAGTTAGTTCCACGAAAATTGCTTAAACATTATGCAAGAAAGAAACATAATGATGTAAACTAGCTTTTCTCTAGGAAAAATTATTCTTCTTTTTACATAGTACTTTTGACAAGTGTAACAAAAAAAAAAAAAAAAATCATGCTAGAAGAAAGAAATAGCCCTTATCGAATGGACCAAGAAAAAATCAATTAACAATTCATGCAATATTCAATAGGATCTTTAATTTCGCTCCTGCATTAGTCAACCCCAAAGATTAGTCCAAGTGCATGTAAAAAAAAAATCTTTAATTTCACTCGCTATCAATGTTAATCTGCATTCTCTTGTGCTATTTAGTTTGATTCACTGACTCTCTGAAACATCTGTATGATTGGTTGCAGACCACTAAAAACTTCAACTACGAATCAGGCATCACGGTTTTACTTATAATCCCTCCGTGGTCCACATCAAATAATATAATTAACTCAAATGCTCAGTACCGAAGCAAGATATGATATTGATTCAATTCTTGGTCTGTCATTCATATTTTAATTCTGGGCGAGTGGAACTCTTTTGTCAAAAGCTGAAGAGTTTTTCCAAAATTAACAACAATGCAAAGGTAAATGAGTAAATCACATGGATAGTTTCACCACCTCAAAGCTATATATATCTTGGCATTATTATAATTATAATTATTTTTCAAAGACAATAAATTAGACAAAGAGAAATCAAAAAATTGGGTTGAATGGTTAAGAGGTTTGGTTTCCGACCAACAGGTTAAGGGTTCAAACCTCTTAGAAGTTCGGCAGTAGTCCACAGTTTAGGATTCGGTGAACTCAAAAGAAAGGCCAGCTGATTTCTGGGTAATAAAAGAAAATTGTTAGATAAAGAGTAAATACAACATGAAATGACTTTCATTGTTAAATTTAAGAACCTTGAAGCTATGCTGAAGTAAAAACACCTTGTTTCTCAACGATGTTCTAAGATCAGACAACACTCCCTGTGACGATGGCAAAGCCCACCAACCTCCAAGAATCCCTACCAAAGTTAGTTTCTGATCAATGACTTCAACTCTAGCAAGGCAAAGAAGCATATAATCTTGCACTTCAACTTTGTTGGCATATAACGTCTGAAAGGTATCACCAAATAAAACAAGAGAGAAAAAACTGAATCAAGTTAATACCACAAGCTTCAGCTATTCCTTACATTTTTATAAGAAACTACTAAATTATATAAAGAGCAAAATGAGACGTATAAAGAAAGAAAAGTCCTGACAGGACTTATAAATCAAGATTACATCTTTTCCTTGTCATATAACCCAAAGAAGAAGTAAATTAGCATCTCCAAAAAGTTTTGGCCTTCTTCCCTTCTCGGAAAGAAAAAACATTACTTATATGTAAAGAATTGCAAGGATAGAATGGCCCACAAGATCTTGGATTCTTTACAAACTCTAGCTTGTAAGTTCAAAACCATATAACAGCTAGAAGGAGCTTAGAAGTCTCCGCACTTCTTTAAACATGACACAACTAGACAGAGAGAGGCATATGGAATGATAGTTTCTTTAGATCACTTCTCTGGTATTGATTTTGCCAGAGCCAAAGCCCAAAAGAGGACTTGGAGTTTGGAAGGGACTCTCATCCATATCATCATAAAAGGTTTAATTCATGAACGGGGGATCATTTAACAACAACCAATGATAGGATTTACAAAAAAGTAATTGCCAAAACCTCCAGTTATCATAATCTTCAAACCCTTTTTTAATGAATATTCAAGTTTCCCACCAACTCCACATGCTCTAAGAATTCTTGTATTTCCCTCCCATTCAAATCCCTTATTATGTAGTTGTAACCACCCCATGCTTGAAACTTGAGAATTTCAACAAAGATTCCAAGTTTTCTGTCACAGCAATATCAAAATAAATAAGAAGATAAAAGCAGGAAATTCACCTTAAACAAGAATAAGTGGGGCCTTTGACGCATCAACTGATGGCAAAACTGCAACATTAAAATACGCACTTCAGATCATGTCAAGCAGTAGAATTATGCATAAGAAACAGATTCAAACACTTGAATTCCCTTTTGTATTTAATGAATATTGGATGTAAAGGAAAAATCCATATCAGCCACAAATAAATCTCAATTTATTTTCTTGAAAAATAGAATATCAAATTTATTGGTATAACTATTAATCTATTGTGTCCACAGTTGGCCTGGCTTTCAAAAATACTAGAACATGAGTCATAAATTAAACACTTTAGCAAAGATGAAGAATACCACAAGTATCATATATCCTGTTGAAAAATTATTATCAAGTATGAAAGCTATAAATATTGTTTTCAAGTTCAGAACCATTTCTACTTACTAAGTTGGACATTAAGGCTTCAAAATCAATGATCAAGTTTCACATACTGCTTGTTTAAGGTTTGGAAATTAAAATTCTTCATTAACCTTCATATGTAGTTGTAAACACCCCATGCTCAAAACAAAATAGAACCGAAAGATTTCTAACCTGTTCAACATAAAGATAAACCGACAGAGGACTAGGCTTTGTGCTGATGAGTAAAAGAAAGATTTTTGTCCCAAGTAGGAAAGGATGTTCCCAGTTTATCAACACGGTAAGTATAAAGAGTGATGGCAGCCAGAATTTCCTTACAAAGGTCCAAAAAGCAAACTGATCTTCTTGCTCATTCAAACCATCTGACAACTCTACGCGATAATCATCCAGCAAAACATCTTGCACATCAAAAAATAAAGTCATTAACAGACATTTACCATAACAATATAGGACTTCAGAATTGACAGCCAGATGATCTGCTCACCATCCATAGCATATGTAACATGGGGTCGAAAGCAGATGGATCCAAATGCAACTGACACACCAAACATACATCCAATAGTTTTACTTCCTGAGACAGTCCCAATCATAACAAAAAGAAAAAGGCATTAACAATATGAATCACGTGACATTTAAACTAATATCATAAAGAATCACATAGCATGAAGGCATCTAATAATGTTCCAAGAATCAACAGAAACCAAACATGAATACAGTGGAAACCATTTCCTGATAACTGGATTAAAACACCCTTAGAAAAATCTTCATATCATATTAGTTTCCCAATAAAATTGAGTGTTCTATCAGTTTGCAAACATAATAGCAAGTAAAAGAACAATAACTATTTCCATAACATTGAATAATAAGTTCTGGATACATTATTTCTCATCAATCCCTCCACTCTTGACAGCACACAAAAACACCACCTATTGAATTAGAGTAAAATATAATTAAGTTCGGATTATGCCTTTAAACAAAAGAAAAAAATTCACAAATATATCACATCAACGCATTGACTGATACAAATATCAATAACGAAACACATAACAAAACATTGCAAGCAATAGGAGTGAAATAATAAAATAGCATTACTTGCCTGATGTGCAGAAACTCTGAACATATTTACTTTGTATATTTAATTGATACTGAAATCTTGAAATATTATTACGCAGCACAGGTTCTAGGTTCTTTCTCCATGTATTTAACGGTGCAAATTTGCCATAGACTGTATTCAAAATATATATAATTAAATAAATTAAATTGCACAAATTCAACAAAAAGAAAATAATAATAAAATAAAAAAAATACTTACACAGTTGGGTGGAGTGACTGTGAGAGACTGATTTAGTTGAAGTGGTAATTGCAGTAAGCGATTGTCTAATTGGATTTAAAAGTTTGGCTGCGTACGCCATTTTTGTCAATACACTTCATCTCTGTTGCAGCTTTAATTATGAAGATAACCGAAAGTGAAAATCTAAAATAAGACGGCTACAGAAAACGATGTCGTTTCTTCGAAGAGATAAACTTCAGGTATTCCAGCGCAAAGTGCTGGAGCCCGCGCTGACATGGAATGTTTTTAGTGGGTAATTCTGTAATTTAACGTGTAATGCATCACAATAATCCAAATTTTATCTTCGTAGTAAATTTCTAAATTAATTATCTCATAAATACTACAAAAATATTATATATATATGTGTGTGTGTGTGTTGTAAAACTTAAAATATCCAAATAAAATATCTAGTGTAGATTGAGTCCTCAGTGGGATTGAGCAAAGGAACAGTAGCAAGGATATGCCAATTTCTATTGTTCCAAGTTGTCATGTTTCAGTGCCCAAAGCTACTGCCCAAGTTTGTGGGTTTAATTTGAATCAAAATAAGCCCAACTCAAGGTAAGATTGAAATTTTTGTGTATAGAAATTGTAAATATAAGTTTATGATCATGCGAGCTTCAACTGTGAAACTCTTGATTGGTTGACTGTTTTTTTGAAGACGGAGGGAGACATGCAGTGTGATAAGATGTTGTGATAAAAGGGTAGGAGAAACAGCAAGAAAAGAGAAGAATTACTATGAGTTGCTGGGAGTTTCAGTTGATGCAAATGTGCAAGATATCAAAGAGGCTTATAGGAAGTTGCAGAAAAAGTATCATCCTGATATTGCAGGCCAACAGGTCTTTTCACTTCTCTTGCTTGCTCTTATATATAATAGAGAAGTAGTCAATAAGAAATAATCAAAACCTCTTATCTGTTATCTTTGAATTTGTGATCTTTATTTAGTTTAAATTTGTATTTTGAATTTGTGGTTGAACATTATCTGTTATCTGGTATCATACTCTTGTATAAATTCCTTTGAGGATTGAATCAAAAGGCAAGCTGCCAAATTCTTTTTCCTCTGCTCATTCTTGTTTCTCTTATAATATATATTCTAGCTCAATCTTCAATAAAAGATGGAATTTTTATTATATTGTTTAGGGTCATGATTATACCCTGATGCTCAATAAGGCTTACAAAGTGCTGGTGAAAGAGGATCTGAGGAAAGATTATGATGCTTCAATCGGTCAAATGAGACTGCACGTTGGCAGAAACGGCTTGGACTCTGCACGTTACAGCTCATGGAATGGACCATTGAGACCACAAGCTCTATTTGTTGATGAAAATGCATGCATAGGTTATTCTCTTATCCTGTTTATGTTACATTTCATTCACCTCAAACATTCACTGTTTATCATTAGATTGTAGCACAGTCTAGATTTCGCTTCGATTATCAGTCTAGTGAAGCATGGTATCTGCAACTACTGGCAGGGTGCAGAGAATGTGTACACCATGCCAGTAACACATTTGTAATGGATGAAGCTATGGGATGTGCACGAGTGAGAGTTCAATACGGGGACAGCGATGAAAAACTCGAGGTATAACAACTGGCAAATAGAGAACAGAATCGGATGTATGCATTTTTCTTCTGCTAGTATTATCTGTCATCTCTTTTTGAGAATTTATCTGAGGGGTGGCTCGGAAATTTTTAGGTTTCAGTCGAGTCATGTCCTGTGAACTGCATCCACTGGGTGGATAGGGAAGAGTTGGCAGTGCTTGAGTTACTGATTCAACCTCAGCCGAAGAAGGGACATGGTGTGTTTGGAGGAGGATGGGAAAGACCAGCAAATGTTTTTATTGCTGCCAAGGCATTTAACAAGCAGCAGCTAAATCAGCAGTCAGAAGCTGAATACCAAAGAAATGGTAGTAACTTTCACCCATTTTCCATTTATGATTAATTTGATGTGGAAAATTTTTCTTCTGTAATGATTTGTTCTTTATATATTGAGCACAAGTGTAGTTGTCATTGCAGCTCAATCAGCTGTTGAAAAGGAAACGCCTGCACAAGCAGAGGCTCGAGTTAATGCTAGTAAGAAGATTGAGAGGGAGAGGTTCTCCGGAATTTGGAATTTCTTCGAACAAGTTTTTCACCCAAACATGTAGATGAAATGCTATGAAAATGTCATCCCCAAGAAGCGAAAAGACATAAGTGCAGACAGTTATAGTGCCCTAGGCTAAATGTATGCAATCTATGAAGCATATGAAAACGCAAGTGTATGTAAATATACTATATACGCTGGATGGTATACGTGTATATTTATATAGTTTTTAACTTAATCTGTTTCTGGGTAAAATACATGTATACTTCAAATATACCCGTGTATGGCCTGATCATACAGTTGCGAAACAGAAAGTCCATGAAAGTTATCATGGCAAATTGTAATGACGAAAGTACGAAATCTCTTCAAGCTTCAGTTCCGCTAGACAAGCAGTACAGAAAAAGGAATCCATATCTGAGTTTGAAATATTCAGGTTTTCATAAACCCCTGAAATATGTCCAACTGCCAGATCAAAATCCTATTTTCGGTCTTATTTGGAAGGAAACATTTCATTATTTCTCAAGGAAGATTAAGTGGCTATTGGAGTACATTGGTAAACCAAATATTTATGTAAAATGTCACCTGAAAGTGCAAGTCCTTCTCTCATCTAAGATCAGTCATGAAAATCTGAATTTAGCTCGGATGGATTTTTTAACCGAGATGTAAATATGCGAATACAAATGTATGCAACATTCATTTAATCAAAACAATCGTTTTGTCTGAACAGTACACTAAAATATACAAGTCACAGAAACAGATTACATAGGATTTAAATACAAATGGAAAGTAATAAACATAGATATCAAAAGTAAAATGTTTTCCAAAGGATCAGCCATCACACCTCCATTGACAAACTGCTGGCCACCAAACTAACTAATATATGCAGCTGCTTTAGCAATGGAGACTTCCAAATAAGTTCTCTTGGTTAGCAACGAATCAGATCAGCATACAGGTATGAAAAATACTATGCTAGTTTTCTGTGGAGCCCAGATTTTTCACAGTCAGTAAGGGAAGCAAAAGTCAGCAAATGTTCGTTGAACAGTGTCTGCTGGCCATTTGGAGGTGATGATGTTGACGAGGATGATCAAGATGATATGAGTTTGAGTGAATACCTGCAAATTATTACTCTCATTGTTGCCACTCTTAAGACTCTAGGCACAATGTTCTTAATTCAGCTTCACTGTCTTAGAGCCAGCTCTGCAAAGAAGAAGTCAGATCAGGCTTGAACTTGCTGTAACAGTCATTGCACAGAACTATTATTACCACAAGTAATAAAATTATTCAAGTACATCATCCAAATTACAACGCCTAAAGGTACTTCAACTGAAGTATCACAGTCAAATTGCAAATCTTCACATACCCATAGAGCCTGCACTTGTTTGTCCCATCACAAACTGCACACTCATCTGCATCCCCTGCTACGTGGCTTAAGCAATGATTGAGCCTGTCATTCACAACATCCTGCAATGTGAACTACTTAAGTTAAAATGCGCCATATGTGCATTGTTGTGTATAATTCACTCAACTTCATCTATATAACTATTAAGCAAGAGCACTTCCAAGGGTGTCATGCTGCAAGTCTCAGAAAAAAAACTCCAAATACAACAGAAAATTAAAATTAAAGGAAAAACTATGTTTACAAGTGAATTACTCAAAGTGAGCAAGATTAAAAGCACAAGCTATTATACTAGCCTGGATGTATTGTCCATAATCAATAAAATTTTGAAATATGCATCTTTGTGAATGACATGCAAAATTGCAAACCATTGATGTGCTATAACATCAGTTTACAGAGGCCAATTGAATTATTAGCACTGAATATGGAAGCTTCAGAAACATGGACTCAACAGTTTACGGCAGCAGCCCAAAAGAAAATACAGACATCACATACCACTAGTAGCTCATGCAAGCCAAGAGGTGCAGTGACCATGTATGAAACACCTGGGTGCTCTATTGCAGCTTCAGCAATCAAGGAAGGTATATCCTGTAGAGTAGCACAAAACCAATACATCTTTAACGTTGTACAGTCACCAACAGTGTAGATTAAAATCATAGTCAAGTTACCCAAATTAATTAGAAAGAACTACCTTGTGCCAATGTCGTCCGGGAAAAAGAAAAAATGGACTTACAATCACCCGACTTGCTCCTTGTTGAACACACAAGCCAAATGCATCTTTTATTGATGGTTCTGCCAACTCCTATTTAGATCAAAACACAGTAGAAGAAACAGAAGAAAGCATAGATTTTCATTTCTTGTGACTAAAAGGACTGATTTATATGACCCAAACATACGCAGAGCTACAGTGTGACCAACGGGCACATCCGCCATGGAACTATCTTATGTGCAATTTACGTCCTATATTTTTAGCTTATATTTCAACTATCTTATATCCTCCATAAGAAAATTATCATCATTTATTTTATTTAATTACTCCCATTATCCAAAATTTTTCTAATTCTAACACTTTAACATTATCATCTCTTCATATCTCAGCAACCCAAAAACCCAACAAAAAAGAAAAGAGTAGAAGAAAGAATACCATATGTGCAGGCTCTACGATTGGATACCCAGTTTTGTCTCTAAACATTATTACAAACTCATCTGAAATTCAATAAAATTGAATAAATTAGCTCTTAATAATAAGCAAAGCAATGAAACACGCCAAATTCAATACCAAAAAACCATCGAAGCTGAAATTATCAATGCAACAGCCAAAAGGTTATAAAAGAGAAGTTTGGAGCTCACTTAGCATGAGATTGGATTCTCTACGACGCGAACCATGGTCAACGATGATCACACCGTCTTTATCACCAACTGCAGCTCTCAAACATGACCTTGTTGACAAATTTTTACTTCTCGAAGGACCTCTCCGCAAGTTCAAAATTTTGGGGTGTGCCCATGTGGGGTTCTTCGTTCCAGATTGGTTCACAGAACAAATGATTATACCCTGATGCTCAATAAGGCTTACAAAGTGCTGGTGAAAGAGGATCTGAGGAAAGATTATGATGCTTCAATCGGTCAAATGAGACTGCACGTTGGCAGAAACGGCTTGGACTCTGCACGTTACAGCTCATGGAATGGACCATTGAGACCACAAGCTCTATTTGTTGATGAAAATGCATGCATAGGTTATTCTCTTATCCTGTTTATGTTACATTTCATTCACCTCAAACATTCACTGTTTATCATTAGATTGTAGCACAGTCTAGATTTCGCTTCGATTATCAGTCTAGTGAAGCATGGTATCTGCAACTACTGGCAGGGTGCAGAGAATGTGTACACCATGCCAGTAACACATTTGTAATGGATGAAGCTATGGGATGTGCACGAGTAAGAGTTCAATACGCGGACAACGATGAAAAACTCGAGGTATAACAACTGGCAAATAGAGAACAGAATCGGATGTATTCATTTTTTTTCTGCTAGTATTATCTGTCATCTCTTTTTGAGAATTTATCTGAGGGGTGGCTCGGAAATTTTTAGGTTTCAGTCGAGTCATGTCCTGTGAACTGCATCCACTGGGTGGATAGGGAAGAGTTGGCTGTGCTTGAGTTACTGATTCAACCTCAGCCGAAGAAGGGACATGGTGTGTTTGGAGGAGGATGGGAAAGACCAGCAAATGTTTTTATTGCTGCCAAGGCATTTAACAAGCAGCAGCTAAATCAGCAGTCAGAAGCTGAATACCAAAGAAATGGTAGTAACTTTCACCCATTTTCCATTTATGATTAATTTGATGTGGAAAATTTTTCTTCTGTAATGATTTGTTCTTTATATATTGAGCACAAGTGTAGTTGTCATTGCAGCTCAATCAGCTGTTGAAAAGGAAACGCCTGCACAAGCAGAGGCTCGAGTTAATGCTAGTAAGAAGATTGAGAGGGAGAGGTTCTCCGGAATTTGGAATTTCTTCGAACAAGTTTTTCACCCAAACATGTAGATGAAATGCTATGAAAATGTCATCCCCAAGAAGCGAAAAGACATAAGTGCAGACAGTTAATAGTGCCTAAGGCTAAATGTATGCAATCTATGAAGCATATGAAAACGCAAGTGTATGTAAAAATAGTATATACGCTGGATGGTATACGTGTATATTTATATAGTTTTTAACTTAATCTGTTTCTGGGTAAAATACATGTATACTTCAAATATACCCGTGTATGGCCTGATCATACAGTTGCGAAACAGAAAGTCCATGAAAGTTATCATGGCAAATTGTAATGACGAAAGTACGAAATCTCTTCAAGCTTCAGTTCCGCTAGACAAGCAGTACAGAAAAAGGAATCCATATCTGAGTTTGAAATATTCAGGTTTTCATAAACCCCTGAAATATGTCCAACTGCCAGATCAAAATCCTATTTTCGGTCTTATTTGGAAGGAAACATTTCATTATTTCTCAAGGAAGATTAAGTGGCTATTGGAGTACATTGGTAAACCAAATATTTATGTAAAATGTCACCTGAAAGTGCAAGTCCTTCTCTCATCTAAGATCAGTCATGAAAATCTGAATTTAGCTCGGATGGATTTTTTAACCGAGATGTAAATATGCGAATACAAATGTATGCAACATTCATTTAATCAAAACAATCGTTTTGTCTGAACAGTACACTAAAATATACAAGTCACAGAAACAGATTACATAGGATTTAAATACAAATGGAAAGTAATAAACATAGATATCAAAAGTAAAATGTTTTCCAAAGGATCAGCCATCACACCTCCATTGACAAACTGCTGGCCACCAAACTAACTAATATATGTAGCTGCTTTAGCAATTGAGGCTTCCAAATAAGTTCTCTCTTGGTTAGCAACGAATCAGATCAGCATACAAGTATGAAAAATACTATGCTAGTTTTCTGTGGAGCCTAGATTTTTCACAGTCAGTAAGGGAAGCAAAAGTCAGCAAATGTTCGTTGAACAGTGTCTGCTGGCCATTTGGAGGTGATGATGTTGACGAGGATGATCAAGATGATATTAGTTTCAGTGAATACCTGCAAATTATTACTCTCATTGTTGCCACTCTTAAGACTCTAGGCACCATGTTCTTAATTCAGCTTCACTGTCTAAGAGCCAGCTCTGCAAAGAAGAAGTCAGATCAGGCTTGAACTTGCTGTAACAGTCATTGCACAGAACTATTATTACCACAAGTAATAAAATTATTCAAGTACATCATCCAAATTACAACGCCTAAAGGTACTTCAACTGAAGTATCACAGTCAAATTGCAAATCTTCACATACCCATAGAGCCTGCACTTGTTTGTCCCATCACAAACTGCACACTCATCTGCATCCCCTGCTACGTGGCTTAAGCAATGATTGAGCCTGTCATTTACAACATCCTGCAATGTGAACTACTTAAGTTAAAATGCGCCATATGTGCATTGTTGTGTATAATTCACTCAACTTCATCTATATAACTATTAAGCAAGAGCACTTCCAAGAGTGTCAAGCTGCAAGTCTCAGAAAAAATAATTCCAAATACAACAGAAAATTAAAATTAAAGGAAAAACTATGTTTACAAGTGAATTACTCAAAGTGAGCAAGATTAAAAGCACAAGCTATTATACTAGCCTGGATGTATTGTCCATAATCAATAAAATTTTGAAATATGCATCTTTGTGAATGACATGCAAAATTGCAAACCATTGACGTGCTATAACATCAGTTTACAGAGGCCAATTGAATTATTAGCACTGAATATGGAAGCTTCAGAAACATGGACTCAACAGTTTACGGCAGCAGCCCAAAAGAAAATACAGACATCACATACCACTAGTAGCTCATGCAAGCCAAGAGGTGCAGTGACCATGTAGGAAACACCTGGGTGCTCTTTTGCAGCTTCAGCAGTCAAGGAAGGTATATCCTGTAGAGTAGCACAAAACCAATACATCTTTAACGCTCTACAGTCACCAACAGTGTAGATTAAAATCATAGCCAAGTTACCCAAATTAATTAGAAAGAACTACCTTGTGCCAATGTCGTCCGGGAAAAAGAAAAAATGGACTTACAATCACCCGACTTGCTCCTTGTTGAACACACAAGCCAAATGCATCTTTTATTGATGGTTCTGCCAACTCCTATTTAGATCAAAACACAGTAGAAGAAACAGAAGAAAGCATAGATTTTCATTTCTTGTGACTAAAAGGACTGATTTATATGACCCAAACATACGCAGAGCTACAGTGTGACCAACGGGCACATCCGCCATGGAACTATCTTATGTGCAATTTACGTCCTATATTTTTAGCTTATATTTCAACTATCTTATATCCTCCATAAGAAAATTATCATCATTTATTTTATTTAATTACTCCCATTATCCAAAATTTTTCTAATTCTAACACTTTAACATTATCATCTCTTCATATCTCAGCAACCCAAAAACCCAACAAAAAAGAAAAGAGTAGAAGAAAGAATACCATATGTGCAGGCTCTACGATTGGATACCCAGTTTTGTCTCTAAACATTATTACAAACTCATCTGAAATTCAATAAAATTGAATAAATTAGCTCTTAATAATAAGCAAAGCAATGAAACACGCCAAATTCAATACCAAAAAACCATCGAAGCTGAAATTATCAATGCAACAGCCAAAAGGTTATAAAAGAGAAGTTTGGAGCTCACTTAGCATGAGATTGGATTCTCTACGACGCGAACCATGGTCAACGATGATCACACCGTCTTTATCACCAACTGCAGCTCTCAAACATGACCTTGTTGACAAATTTTTACTTCTCGAAGGACCTCTCCGCAAGTTCAAAATTTTGGGGTGTGCCCATGTGGGGTTCTTCGTTCCAGATTGGTTCACAGAACAACTACAATGGCATCAATAACAAAAAAGCAGGCAAACATTAAAATCATTTTATTAATTTTAAAAAAAAATTAAAAAAAATAAAAAAAATATAAACAAAAAAAAAAAAAAAAGAGAGAGAGAGAGAGGGATGATAAACAAGAAGGGTTTTTTAGGGATTTTAACCTTTTGACTGTGAACTGAGAGAAGAATGATGATTCTATCGACATGTCCGGAGCTCTTCGCCGAGTTCCGTTTGTTCTGTTGGGAATTGTATGAGTTTGTTGGATGGATTGAAACGACGACGTATATTTCAGTCAGTTAATTGAACTTTTCTGGGCCCAAATTTTATGAAACCAGGCCCAACTTATAGTGAGCTCTAAAGTCTCAAGAGTCAAGTAGATATATTTTTTTTTCCTCTTTTTCGCTTTTTCTATCCAGTGATGGATCTAAAATCTGAAAATTCCCCGTCCCTGCCACGACATCGGCCTCGGTCTGCAACACCAAAAGAAGATGTCTAAGTTAACCTCAGCCCAAGATTTTGTCAAATCTATCAATCACATTGTTAGGATTTTAACTTAAAATTTGTAGTAATTTATTATGTTAATTTAATGGTGTAAAGCCACATGAATGATCAACATTAAATGTGACTTTTTAACTTTTAATTTGAGTTAAATAATATTATTTTATAATTATGTATATAAGTAAATCTCTCTAAAAGAGGAAATATATAAATAAAGGGTTTTATTTCTTATTGAATAAATCACGTGTTGAAATGGATCATGCATAAAAAAAAGGGTAATTGTATACGTATGCCATTTATATTTTTGTTTGGGGGCATAATGGTTGTTGAATCTTATGATTTAGTGATACGTTCACAAATGAATTAATAAACATAATTAATTTTTACCTAATAAATGATGATTAAAACACAAGGCATCAGATATTATCACCTTACTTGGTAGTTGCATTGCTTTTCAAATAAAAATACAACTACAAGCATATGATAATAATAATAATAATAATATAATCTATCAACAAATAAACCTTTCAAATTTTCTAACAACTTTGCCTTAGTAGATGCAATGTTTCTCTCATCCTCTCAAATTTCAGCACTTAACCCTTTTGTTTTTTTTATTTCTTTGTCAGTTAACACCCACTTTATTTATTTTTATATCTCAACTACATTATCTTTTAGTTGTTATATGAATTGACCGTTTATTTAATTAATTCAATAATTTTTGTTAATTTAAATATTCGAATTAAAGATCATAATAATACGTCTAATATTGTTATTAGAAAAGATCATGATACTTTTTAAGTTTAATTGTAACTTCACAAATTTCCAATAAAAAGGGGATCTGATTCCCTACATTGCACGCAACTAACAGAAAATACTCACACTTTTATTGTTGTTAGTTTGTTACGACACCATAACTGATAAAATGCCAGAAGCTCACCTGTGAAGCCAAGTCAAGTTACCTTCTTCTTCGGTCTCTTCCACTCTCTTCCTCATTTCATTTCATTTCTATTCAATTCGCTTTCACTCGCTCTATTCAAAGTCAGTCTTCAACCGCTTCGTTTTGTTCGTTGTTTCTTGGACTCGGTGCCGTGACCGGTTCACAGTGAATGGATCTCGGTTGGATCTTGAGGTAATCGGTGTTGAGAGATGGTGGAGGAGTTGAAGTGAAACGGCGTCGGTTATCGAGATAAATGAAGCGAAAACAGCAGAAATTGCACTTGTATAGATGGAAGCGGAAGGTTTTCGCCGCCATTTTGATTGGATTCTGTTTCGGCAGTCTGGTGTTGATGCAGACTCAGTACACGAGAATTGTATCTCTACGACATCGTTTCGCTCAAAAGCCGAAAATTGCTTTCCTATTCATTGCCAGAAATCGGCTCTCTCTCGAAATGGTTTGGGATAAATTTTTCGAGGTATGTGTTTATGGTTAGTTTTTTTAAATTATTTAACGTAAAATTAATTATGATCAATTTCTCTTAATTAGTAATATATGTGATGACGTTATGATTAGTTTGACATTATGATTGTTAATAAGTTTTATAATTCTATTTTGGCGGCCTTTTTTTTGTTAAAGTAAGTTTTATTCACCTCATCCGAAGAAAGAAAAATTCTAATAATTTAATGAAACTTTAAGGGAGAACTTTAGCAGTGGCTTAAAATGATTTTCATAATTCTAGGCAGGTTTTTCATTTTTGACGAATTTTGCAACTTAAAGATTAATTGTAACCAGTCAAAACTTAGGGGGTGCAATGAAATTTTTTCTACTTTTCTAAAGGTTTAGTGTGTGGTATTATGGAGTTTGTTAACAGGAGAATTAAATACCAAAAGTGTTGATGCTGTGTTGCAGGGAGGGGAGAATAGATTCTCAATTTTTGTTCACTCAAGGCCTGGATTTCTTTTCAATAAGGCAACAACAAGATCGGTCTACTTTTTGGGTCGTCAAGTTAATGATAGTACACAGGTTCGTATTGTGATCATGGGATGGAATCCCTAAAGAAAACCATAAGGAGCTAATCTATGGTCATATTCATGTGCTCTTATTAGCTGAAATCTTAATGACAAAGTTGTTTTAAAATTCAAATTCTGACTTTCCTTTTCTATTGGCATGATAATATTTATGTTATATTTCAGGTAGATTGGGGAGAAGCAAGCATGATTGAGGCAGAGCGTATATTGCTTAGACATGCGCTTGAGGATCCTTACAATGAGCGCTTTGTTTTTCTATCAGACAGGTGATAATAATTCTCAACAGCTACTACTTGATATATTTTGTCTTGTTGACCTCTTGGAGTTAGGGTTATTTTGCGTATTCACTTAGTAATAAATAGGAGGGATTTTTTCGGCACTTTTGTTATCTAACAATATACCAGTTACTTCTTATCTTTTCAGCTGCATACCTCTGTACAACTTCCGCTATACATACAACTATATCATGTCGACATCAACTAGTTTTGTGGACAGGTTAGTTAGCCGGGCATATTTTTTGACAATATACACTTTGCAGTCTAAAAACATAATTTGATTGAGCATCATAGTTAGACGGATATGAAGCCCAACCATCTTTAGATTGAGAATGAAGCTCCAACCATTTTGTTGTATTGATCATTCCTAAATTTTACAACAAAGAAAAGAGTGTTGTGTAGAAAAGAACTTTAGATTGTATATTTGTCATGCACTTTTGGTGTGAGGAATTGTCTCATTTGTTGGATCTCCCGAGTAGTAGTTAGCATGTTTCAAAAATGTGGAAGAATAAAAGTGGATTGATGCTTGTTAACAGTTACTCTGTGGTGAAAGTTAAAAGAGACAGAAAAAAGTATGAAAAATAAGAAATGAAAAAAAAAATTACCATATTATGTAGTATGTTACTTGTAGTTAAAGTCTACCTGTTTTCATTTTATTTTGGCAAGAGGGAGAGAGAATCTTGTCAGATGAAGGTCAGTTCTTGGCATCTTAATTTGATGCAATTCAGTGCTCAGTGGCTTGATGGAGGCTCATCTAAGATTGTCTATGTATTTGTATAAAGTTACAACATCTATGAGACATTTTGCATAACACATAGTTTGGCAGTTTGTTGGAACTGAGGTGTTGAAAGTGGAAGCTACTATCTACATTTGATTTGACTCTCCTACAAAATGCATATTTACTTAGATGCACCAAAGAAGAGCAAGCCCACATCCATAGCCATTTTCTAGTCCAATAAGTGGGGATTTCTTGAACCATTCCTTGTTACTGGCATGTGTACATTTATTAAATCTATAGTCATCCATAGCCCAAAACATTGGGTTCCGAAGTTTAATTCTAGAGTAATTTGTCCCTACTATTAGTTTTTGTTTAGGCAAAGATCATACTGTTTATAGCTGCAATATAGATCTACCAATATTCTGAATTTCTCAAATTACTATGTCACTGTTAGTGCAATCTAAAATCATGTCGCTACCACTAATGTGCTTTATCATAACTTATCAATGTCACACTTGTTTGTTCTTTCCTGCATGCCATTCTTTGTCATAAGGTGATTGTCACTGTTAGTGTAATCTAAAATCATGTCTCTACCACTAATGTGCTTTATCATAACTTATCAATGTCACTCTTGTTTGTTCTTTCCTGCATCCCATTCTTTGTCATAAGGTGATTTTGGTATTATCACCATGCAAATATACGTAATGTAATTTCTGCAACATAGAACTTTTTTATTTCGAATTGCTTGTAATTGTATATTTGTCAATGCAATGGTGGAAACAGCTTCGCTGATACAAAGCAGGGCCGGTATAATCCGAAAATGGCTCCTGTTATCCCTGTTCATAACTGGAGGAAGGGATCTCAGGTAACAATTTTGTGCACTGAAGTGGTTGCTTACGAAAAGTTATATGAGAAAGTAACAACAAAGTAGTAATAATAGCTTATGCTTTGTCTTCTTGCAGTGGGCTGTTCTGACCAGAAAGCATGCAGAGGTTGTTGTAAATGACACTACTGTGTTTCCAGTTTTTCAACAGCATTGCAAGGTAAGCAATCCACTTATCATGGGTTTATTAGTTGCTTAAAACAATAGGTGCTCATATTGTCACTGGAAAAAAAGTATTCAAGGAATTACTTTTTGAAACAATAACTAAGAGCATAGAACAGAAGTGTCTCAACATTTTTAACGTAATCATCAAGTTAATTTTTTATGTAATCTTGTTTTGTTGAGGACCTGTTAAATTTTTTATTTTATCTGATCTATTTATCATAACTATGCAGAGGAGATCACTACCTGAGTTTTGGCGGGAACGCTCAGCTGTAAGTAATCTTTAAAGGCCATTTAAATTTTATCAAAAAGTTTCTTGATGTGTTTTCAAGAAAGAGGTATTAATCTAATATTTTAATTTATAATTCTTTGGTTTCCAGCCGGTTGATCCAGCAAAGGAACATAATTGTATACCAGATGAACATTATGTTCAGACTTTACTGGCTGTAAGTTTAAGTTCTTTATTAAATTATGCAATTAATTTTCTTCACAAAAGAATCAAGTAAATCAGAAGCTACTGGTCTTTGAGAAAGCAGTTACCCGCCTGCTACCAGATATGTGAATCTGATAGTGGTAGCACCTTTCTCTGGCTTCTGCCTTTCCACTGTGTGAACCTGTTAGTACATCAAATGAAGGGCCTAGAATTCAAGGAAGAACCACGCTGTTTTTTTTTTTTTCCCTCATCGTGGTAATTGTAATTTCACTTGTTAAGCCATTGTCTTTAAATTCAGCAAGAAGGCCTTGAAGGAGAACTCACACGAAGATCAGTGACATATTCTGCTTGGGATCTTTCTTCCTCCAAAGACCACGAACGCCGTGGTTGGCATCCTGTGACTTATAAATACTCTGATGCCACTCCCAAGCTTATTCAATCTATAAAGGTATGAGATTCTCTCTTAGAACCTTAAGGAAGCTTTCCTCTAAATATTTGCCATGCAGTACTTCAACATTCATGGTTGCTACTTATAACTCACAAATTAGAGAAAATTTATGTTACTTCCTCATGTAACTTATTGTTTTACATTATTATTTCCTCATGTCACTTACTGGGTAACAACAGGCGGCTTGTTTCTTTCATCTAATATGACACTGCTACAATTTCTCACACTTAATATTTTAATCCTTCGTCCCACTGCTTCCTATTAGAGTTAAAGAAATTTGTCCATCTGAGATGATATTTTTTTCCTTTTCGATTATTTCATTTTTAAGGAACCATTGCAGTCTTAATGACTTAGGAACCAGGGATAGATTTCTAAAAAAATAAGAAATTGATACTAAAGAAACATGTGCGACTCGTACTGCATCACTATTGCAATGGGTTCCACCAAAAATTTACCTTTGTTCTATATACCATTGTAGTCCACCACCTCTGTTGCATTGCTTGCAGCATCCTAATTGCCAATGTGCTGTTGTGTTGCTTCCATTGTCACAAATGTTGTAATGCTACTACTATCGCAAACAGTTAGGACTGCCATCTTGTTAATTCTTTTTAGCTTAGTACGTTTTGAAAAATAAAATTGTCATACGATAATGCTTCCTCCCCTTTTATTTATTCAGAAACCTCATCTTCAAGTACTTCTGAATCCAACCTAGCGCCTTCATTTGAATTACAGTTAAAATTCCATAATTTCCATTTGTTATTGTCTGGAATAAACTGAAGTTCTTGAGGGGACAAAGCAGCTAGACTAACCATGTTGCTCTTGAAAATCACTACTTAAATTAAAGTTTCAGGACGGTAATATATTAAAAATCAAAACACAGATATTAACTACAGTTCTCATCCCCAATAATCTGAGTGCAGGTGACTTGGCACAATATGTACATGTTAATTGATTAATATACTGTTTGCGACTGATGGAAAAGTCGAGAACAATTAGAAGAATTGATTGAAACTGTATTTAAATTTATATTGTTCATCAATAACGAGATAAATCATAAACAGATTTTAATAATTTTTGCAGGAAATTGATAATATATATTATGAAACTGAATACCGGAGAGAATGGTGTAGCAGCAAAGGGAAACCATCCCGATGTTTCCTTTTCGCCCGAAAATTTACCAGGCCTGCTGCTCTCCGCCTTCTTAATATGGTAAGTTCCATATTTACTTCTTAAGTAATGCAAACGAGTCATTAGTATGAGATTTGGAGAATATCAGGTATTTGAATCAGTTGATGGAACAACCATATTTGGTTCTCTGTTGATGCATGACTTATATGGCGACAAGTCTCCGTATATTTATTTTGTTTATGTTGTGTATTTCAGTCTGTGCTGGGAGGTGAGGGCGTTGAAGCAAGGAATGAAACAGTGGCAAAGTAAATATATGTTGTAAGTTTAATAGTAGATAGAATTAGTTAATCTTAATCCATATGAATTAGTCTTGTATTTTGCAGTATAGAGATAATTGAGAGCCCTGTAAATTAGAGATGCTGAAGGGCTCGAAAAAGAGGGAAATGTCTAGTACGGTGGTATATATTTTCTCATTTTTTTTCTAAATACATATAAATAAAATGGAGATCTTATTGTTTTTCTCTCATTGCATATTCATAGAATTGTGAGTTTCAATTCACATCTGCTCTTAAGGAAGAATACAAGAGAACCACGAGTGAATTTGAAATGTGTTTATGAAGTAATATGACAAAATTGTGGATCAATGTTTTAATAACCAACCTGGGGTGAAACCTAGCAAAGTTGTCGGGTCCTGGGTTGATTGGGTTGACTGGCCGATAAAACTGAGTGTCAAAAAGTTTAAAATTTAGCAAATACACCCCTAAAAATTTGTTAAGTCCCTACAGGTTTGAAACTTAGTGAACACACCCCAAATACAAATTGGCAGTCGATTGGTTGATGGCGAAGACATACCAAATTCAATCACAATCATTCCTTGAGCCCATACCCTAAAAAATCTTTGCGGTTAGATCTCGCCAATGTCGACGTCGACAACCCTCCCCATCACCATGGAGATACTCCCTTCACTCTCTTAACCAAAACTCATCTCATCCAACTCTCGTTCGCCTTGCCAATCGTCGGCAAAAGTCGATTGTTGTCGTCGCAGGTTTTTTTCGATTTTTTATCGATTAACTCACCGGAAACCAATTTTGTCACCACTATTGCACTCATCGGCACTTCTCCTTCAAAAACCCAATATTTCGACTTTCAATTGTTCGTCGATCATTATCCCAATTTCTAGAGTTTTTAGTGAATAGGAAAATTGTTAACCCGACCTGGTAAAAGTCCTAGGTCACGATTTAACCGGCCGAGCCAGGCCAGGTTTTAAAACACAGTTGTGGATTAAATAGTTTAAGGATGAATCATTCTTACACACAATATCCATAACATTTAATTTAATATATGCTTGTAAATTGGGAAAAATATAATCCTCAAATCTTTATTCATATCACTTTGTGCGTTGGAAAATAGATATTGAGTAGTCAATTTAAGTCAGTATCTAACAGTTACAACTAACCACCAAATGAAGCATGCAATCATAAAATAATTAAGGGATATTGACACGTAAAAGCTATAAAATTGACACTGTTAATTAATTTGTTATAATAAAAATGGTTCGTTACATTACATACAACGTACATGAATCATCCAAAATCAACTCAAATCTTCGAATGTGTCGAATGTGTTGCTAGGATATTTTATCAACTTACTTGACTGTTTTGTTCAACTGTGTTACAAAAATAAAACTCATGACACAATTTAATAAATAAATAAATAAAATCGTATTAATTAATTAAAAGAATAACATAAAATTTTATTGAATGAATTGTGACATTATCAGATTTAAACTTTGTAACCATCGTAAATCAACCACTTAGCAGACATAACTGCAACCAAGTAACCGCAATGGTTTCATCACACGTGTATTCAATGAAAATGACACGCCTCCCACCTATTTTAACGTGGCGTTTTCTTATTGGTCATTCCCGTCTTCGGTTCCAACGGTTTCTAGATTTTCAATTCTGGGTCTGTGTTTCTTACCCGAGAAGCATCACACGTGTCAGACTCATACAGCTCCACCTAGCTCTTCTCCTCAATCCTTTAGTCCAAAAAGTGAAACCAAAGGGTCGGTGGAAGACTGCAACAGAAGCCTACACGTGGCAGAAGTCGGTGATCCACCGAAAACTCGGTTCTGTTACCAAACAGCGAGTTTTATAATTTATAGGATTTTGTGAAAAATAAAAAAATTCACACAACTTGGCAAACAATTAGAGGCTACTGGCTAGAGCTCACTGTTTTCAACGGCTTCTTTTTTCCTAAGTATAAAACCCCACAGGCTTTGAATAAAGAATATTTACTTTTAATCTTTTTTAAATTTTGAACGTGCTTTTGCCTTGTTATACTAGTAGGGACCATATGATTTATAAAAATTCTAAAAAATAGAATATTTCCACAATCATCTGTGTGCATGAATAACATGAATATCTTGAAACAAATTTAAAATAAAGATGGTGCATCACATAATTCATTAATTAATTCGCTATGATTTTGTATCTTGTATTTTTGTTAAAATAAAAAATAAAAAATAAAAAAGTCTCTATATACGTTTGATATAGTGTGATTTACTATTTCGTAAACTAATAATACACCCACTTCGATTTGAACAAAAATATTGTATATGGGTAACGCAATACATTGGTGTTACTTAATAATATTATCACCCATATGTCATATTTATGAAATTTTATTATTTTTAATTTTAAAAATCCTCATTTTATCAATTGGTCCTTCAAGGGACAGATGTAATGTTGTAAATTGGCGAGTTTTTGTAACCAGTGGAAGCAATTTGTGTCACGGTAGTACCAAAATTCGAATTTCTCAAAAGAAATTCACTTTATAAGTATACCTTTATTCCAATTTTTTTTTTTTCATATTTATTCCTTGGTGGGTAAACCGATTCTTCTAGTCATCAAGTGTGATAGTAATTGAATAGTTTTAGCAATTCTTAACATTAAAAATAATCAAATTCTGCAATAAATATGCTGATACTTTGAGAATCTTTAAACTCAACTACAAAAAATTCCTCAAATAAAAGGAAATAATTCCAATCAATGATCGATAATCTAATATATTGTAATTTCATTGTATATATATTTAAAAAAAAAAAAAAAAAAACAAAGAATGTTGACAAATGAAAAGCAGTAGCAAAGAGAATCAAGGAATTTAGATGAGATGGAGATGGAGAACCAAAGCTTTAGAATGACATAAAAAGAGAACAAATCTGAATAAAAAAAAAAAAAAAAAGTCACTTCCCAATAATACATTGATTGGGAAGGGGAAATCCCTGAAAATCCTTGTAAATATTTAAAGTAAGATCACATTAGTTTAATTTGGTAAACGTATATTTGATTGATGTAACGTATTTAATGAAATTATATATACTCAATGGATGCTCTGTTTTGACTGTTGAGAAGGGCGAGAAAAAAAAATAATTGAAATTGAAATTTGAAGAAAGGGAAAGGAAATAATATGAACATTTCCTTTTTAAAAAAAAAAAAAAAAAGGGTGGGAATTTTGTAAGAAGACACCAGAAGCTTTACCCTGGCCTTGAGTAGGTCACTTGTCTTATGCGAGATTCTTTACAACAGTAGCCTGTATAAAGTAAGTTATTGATACCCTATCCCAATTTCTTCCCTTAACTCGGGGATTTCTGATTCAGTGTATTGATCGAAATGACATAATAATAAGAATAAGAATATGGGATTCAGTTGAATCAGATACCGACAATAATTGAGAAGTAAAAAAAAAAAAAAAAAAAAACATCGGATCATATCTATTTATAAATGACATACATACTAAAATCTTCTATTAAGAAAAAAAAAAAAAAATATGATTCCTTAATTTATTATCCATACAAAAAGTAATAAAATATAACATTTGTATTAATTATCGTAGTTAATCACTCATTATTAGTTTTTTTTTATGTGCTTCAATAGACTTATGTGAAATCAATTTACATATATATAAAAAAATATATAATTAATGGGTTCCATTAATGTGTATATATCATAGGTAGATGTTAAAAATGCTAAAACAGTTAATAATTAATATGAACACAATTATACCATTTATAATTAAATAATTAAACTAATTCATCTAGACCTTTAATCTTTCTAGCGGAAGATGCAGGTTCTTCAAGAGAAGCAAATTATATTATCTATTATTCTTAAACACACATAAGAAAATCTGTCATTAATATGTAAATTTATGTTAGTTTTAAGTTCTGTATGTAGATAATTTGAATTGGCAATTGCGTCAACTCTTCATTCCAAAAGTAACCATAAAATAGGATTTAGGCCGAACGACTTATGCATACCCAAGGTTGTTGAAACGATAAGTTGATACCCAAAAAGTTTTGAAACGACAATGGATACCTTCCGTCATGTTTCTGTTAGTGATTTTGGTTAGATAATAGTGAAAAGACTAAAATACCCTTGAAAGTTTCATTTTAGTTTTTCATAAATTTAAAAACTTCTAAAAAACCCTCTAGGTTTGCTAATTTGACTAAACAGCCCAATATATAAAAATTTTATAAAATAACAAAAACACCCCCGCCACCCCCGCAGTGCCAGATTCCGACCACCACCGCCGGAATCTGGCCGGAAAATGGCGTTACGACACAGACCCATCGGATCTGTGTCGTAACGCGTAGATCTTTCATTTTCTGGCAAGATCCGTGGCTGATCTGGCCGGAAAAGACCAGATCTACGCCAGATCTGGCCGTCGAGACCGGAAACTTGCCGGACAATTGTTGTTTACGACACAGACCCATCGGATCTGTGTCGTAACACGTCGATCTGGCGTTTTCCGGCCAGATCCGTGGATGATCTGGCCGGAAAAGGCCAGATCTGGCCGTCGAGGCCGAAAAAGGCCAGACATAGATCTGGCCTTTTCCGGCCAGATCCGAGGCGGATCTGGCCGGAAAAGGCCATATCGGTGTGTTACGACACAGATCCGACGGGTCTGTGTCGTAACACAATTTTTCGGCCAGATTCCGACGGTGGTGGCCGGAATCTGGCACTGCGGGGGTGGCGGGGGTGTTTTTGTTATTTTATAAAATTTTTATATATTGGGCTGTTTAGTTAAATTAGCAAACCTAGGGGGTTTTTAGAAGTTTTTAAATTTATAAAAACTAAAAATTAAACTTTCAAGGGTATTTTAGTCTTTTCACTATTATCTAACCAAAATCACTAACAGAACATGACGGAAGGTATCCATTTGTCGTTTCAAAACCTTTTGGGTATCAACTTATCGTTTTGAAAAATATTGGGTATGTATAAGTCGTTCTCCCTAGGATTTACTATTTTCCTTTTTTGGGCATATCTAATAGCTATTGCAGCTGAATCAATTTAGATAATATTGTAGGGTATTTCCTCATAGAATTGGGTCCATACTAATTTAATTCAATGTTTTTGTTAGACAATATGTGGCTTCATATCCACCCGTCTACTCTACATCCATCAACTTTTGATGTAACATTTGTCACCTCTGAACCGTCAATTCCTCAAATTAAGCACCCAAAATTTTTATGATTTAATCATGGTACAAAAGAAAAACATAGTATGTATAAAAGATAATGTTTAATATTTATTTTCCCCTTTTTCACACTGGACCGTCACTGACTCGTTAAAAACATGAAATTTTCAAATCAACTCCTTTAATTACTTTTTAACAAGGAAGGACCCACCTCACCTGCCACTCAAACCTTTTCTGTCTCATTGCTACCCTATATATACACCACTTCCCGTTTTTGAGTTTCAGCAACACAAATTAAAGGCAAGTTTCAAGATTTCATTAACACAAAATCAAAGCTTTAATTTCTTTTGTTTAGTTTTCAAGATCACAATCTACTTTGATTCCATTCTTCTTTTTCAGTTCCATACTTTCTCTATATAAACAACCTTTCTCTCCTTCTCCTCTCACCACAATTTGTTATTCAATTTCCTTCTCTTTGATTTCTCTGTAGCTGAGACTTTTTTTTTCTCTCTCTTTAACGACAATGGCTCCAAGTCTGAGCAAAGGCAACTCTGATGTCACCACCCTCGTTGATGGCCATAACCAATCCATGGTCAGCCTCGAGGGATCGAAACTTATGGCGAACGGCCATATGTTTCTCTCTGATGTTCCTGATAACATCACCGTTACTCCTTCTCCCTACACCACCGACAAGTCTGTCTCCTCCTTCGGATCCTTCGTGGGATTCGACACTGTCCAGCCCAGCAGCCATCACGTGGTCCCGGTTGGGAAACTCAAGAACTTAAGGTTCATGAGCATTTTCAGGTTCAAGGTTTGGTGGACGACTCACTGGGTCGGCTCCAATGGGAGAGACCTTGAACACGAGACCCAGATAGTGATTCTGGATAAATCCGACTCGGGCCGGCCCTATGTTCTCCTTCTTCCTCTCGTTGAAGGGCCTTTCCGGGCCTCTCTCCAGCCCGGAAACGACGACAACGTCGACATTTGCGTCGAAAGCGGGTCGACGAAAGTCTCCGCCGCCGCATTCCGAAGTGTGCTCTACGTGCATGTTGGTGACGACCCCTTCAACTTGGTGAAGGAAGCCATGAAAGTCGTTAGACTTCATTTAGGAACCTTCAAGCTTTTGGAGGAAAAAACACCTCCAGCAATCGTAGACAAATTCGGTTGGTGCACGTGGGACGCATTTTACCTTACGGTAAACCCGCAAGGCATCATGGAAGGCGTCAAGGGTCTTGCCGATGGCGGGTGCCCACCCGGACTCGTGTTGATCGACGACGGGTGGCAGTCCATCAGCCGTGATGAGGACCCCATCACCCATGAAGGCGTGAACCAAACCATTGCAGGAGAACAAATGCCATGCAGGCTACTAAAATTCCAAGAAAATTACAAATTCAGAGACTATATAAGCCCAAAGAAGTCGGGGAATAGCGGCAAGGGCATGGGCGCTTTCATTAAAGATCTCAAGGAAGAGTTCAAGAGCGTCGATCAAGTTTACGTGTGGCATGCGCTGTGCGGATACTGGGGCGGCTTGAGGCCTAACGTGCCTGGATTGCCGGAAGCAAGTGTCGTGAAGCCAAAACTTACTCCGGGATTGGAGAGGACGATGGAGGATTTGGCGGTTGATAAGATAGTCAACAACGGAGTGGGGCTGGTTCCGCCGGAGATCGTTGATCAAATGTACGAAGGGCTGCACTCACACTTGGAGAAAGTTGGAATTGATGGGGTCAAGGTTGACGTTATCCATGTAAGTTAATTTCTTGGAAATTAAATTAAATTTAGTTTTAATTTTTAATTTGTTTTTAGATTGATGATGACTTCTGGGTTTTGGATAATGCTGGATAAGCTAGTTTAGACAAACAAATTGTGGTATTGAAAGTTAGGTGTCACTGTTATGATAATATCTCTTGGTTTCAGATACTTTAACTTGTTGAAGTCAGACCGTTGGTTTTCGGTTACTTTGACTTGTTTGGTCGGCACGTTACTACTATTTTATAACTACACGCAACCGATTTACAACAAATCTTAAGAACCTAGTTGAGACTTCTGAAATTTTTTATTAAAATTAATTTAGTAACTGGGTGAGATGGGTCATTGACTAACTCTTTTATGGCTTATTCTGTAATTTTGACAGCTTTTAGAGATGATGTGTGAGAATTATGGAGGCAGAGTGGATCTTGCGAAATCATACTACAAGGCTTTATCAGAGTCGGTGAAAAAGCATTTCAAGGGCAATGGAGTAATTGCAAGTATGGAGCACTGTAACGATTTCATGTTTCTTGGGACGGAGGCCATTGCTCTTGGTCGTGTTGGTACGTCATGTCTTTTAAATTTTATCCTATGATTTTTATATTAAGAAAAAATAATTAATGCTATTGTCACATAAACACCCTCAAATCAAAGGCATTTGACCGTGTTTAATTTGATCTTATAAGATATACTTCAATTATATTCAGAAGATTACCCAGACTTTCGGGCAAGAAAATTATAGAAAGATCACCCAGATTTGCTAAACTAGATGGGTCAATAGTATTTGATTTGACTGAATACCAATTCTTAATTACCATTAATTAAATACTTCTTCCTTATAGGACCGCCACGTTTTCAAGTCTAAATACCTAAGTCATTATTTACTCAATTAGCATCCTTCAGGTGGACGGTTCTATTTTTTATTCTTTCCCCCTTCCCTGAAGCACGCCAAGATTTGCTCAAATATTAATATATTTTGGGTTACCAAATACTTCTGCTATTTGGAAATCTTCTTAAAAAAAAAAAAATTCAAAAAAAATAAATTAAATTTACCTAAAGAGACCATCAAGCGAATAGCAAGCCTGATAAAACTTATAGATTTTGGTTGGGCCAGGCTAATTTTTTTTTGTTAATTGTTTGTGCAACAGGTGATGACTTTTGGTGCACTGATCCATCTGGTGATCCAAACGGTACCTTTTGGCTGCAAGGGTGTCACATGGTGCACTGTGCCTACAACAGCTTGTGGATGGGCAACTTCATTCACCCAGATTGGGATATGTTCCAATCTACTCACCCTTGTGCCGAATTTCATGCGGCTTCCAGAGCAATTTCTGGCGGTCCAATTTATGTCAGTGACACTGTTGGCAAGCACAACTTCCCCCTGCTCAAGCGCTTAGCCATGCCTGACGGTTCCATTCTCAGGTGTGAATACTATGCCCTTCCCACCAAAGACTGCTTCTTTGACGATCCTCTCCATGATGGCAAGACCATGCTCAAAATTTGGAACCTCAACAAGGTTAGTAAATTTTGTTGCATTGTGTGGATGAATTCGTTTTCTCAAATTTTATGTGTCTGAGGATTCATTTACTCTTCATCAGTACACTGGAGTTATCGGAGCATTCAACTGCCAAGGAGGAGGATGGTGCCGTGAGACTAGACGCAACCAATGCTTTTCTCAATATTCTCACAAGGTGACAGCCAAGACCAATGTTAAAGACATTGAATGGAACAGCGGGAAGAGCCCCATTTCCATTGAAGGAGTTGAAGTTTTCGCCATGTACTTGTCTGAATCCAAGAAGCTGGTTCTTTCCAAGCCCGACGACGACATTGAAATTTCCCTGGAGCCCTTCACTTTCGAACTCATCACTGTTTCTCCAGTCACCGTTTTGTCTGGGAAGTCTGTGCAGTTTGCTCCAATTGGCCTGGTGAATATGCTCAACACTGGCGGTGCTATCCAGTCCTTGTATTACGGTGGGAGTTCTGTGAAGATTGGAGTTAAGGGAAGTGGAGAAATGAGAGTGTTTTCTTCAGCGAAACCGAGAGCTTGCAAGATTGATGGGGAAGACGTTGTCTATGAATACGAAGGGAATATGGTTGTTGTTCAAGTGCCATGGTCAAATCCTTCTGGTTTATCAGTTATCGAGTACTTATTTTAGAGTTAAAAGTACATATATATTGGCGTAGTGTAATGAAGTAACTCAGCAATTGCTATAAGTAACTGCTAAGTGGTTAAATTCTCCAAGTAATAAAGTAAAGTTATTACTAATTTCTCTTTCCTTTTGGGATGAATTTTCCCTTGTGCCTCTCTTCATGATTACGTGAGCTATGTTAATTACACAGCATGGGTTAAGCAAACAGCCCAAAACTTCCCATTGAGCATAACTTCTTGCATCTTGTGGCTAAATTGATTCAATTTTATGTTCAGTTTGGCTAGGAAAAGATAGAAGTCAGATTTCCTGCAGCTGGTCTCGACAACCCCTAAACAGAGTCATAGGTTAACTAATAAATTTAGAGAAATGCTAGATGTACAAAGACTCCTACAAAGAGCCTTTGTATAAAGTGATGTGGCAACTTCCATACCACTAGTTTGTAAAAAGAAAGAGAAGATTGATATGAAACTAGTGGTGTGACAACTGTCATATCACTTTGTACAAAGACTCTTTGTAAGAGTCTTTATATATCTAGCATTTTCGATAAATTTAACAGAGTATGTGGCGCTTTAGGCAATCGCTAATCCAAACCATATGGGATTTGGTAATACACAGAGATTTCATCAAAAATTGATAAATGACAGGAATGCCCATACTCTGTTAAATTTAATATAACGCCTGTTAAGTACTTCAGGGCTGTATTTGTTAGTTTTTTCTTTATCCATGGCTTTATGCTACTTCCCTTGGTGGCTTCGTGCAATATTATTGTTTCCAGTCTAGGTGCTTCTTAAGTAATTATATAAATATTATAGCATTATTCAGTACATAAATACAAGCCTTTTACTTCCTCTGCTTTATGCAAATATAAACCTTAAATTGTGTAACTTTACTTATAGATGATTGTTGATGCGTGATTTTTACACCAACTAAACGCATGTGTGCAATGCTGAGCTGGCCCAGAAGACACACGTGAATGTAAGAAAAATGAGAATAAATGCAATGGGAACAGCTTTTAAAGTGGTTCGGATGCTAAGGAAGCAAATCCTACATTCACTGATGTTTGTATTAATGATAAAGGTCAGGTCGTGTTAGCGGAATGACTTACAAAATGATGGTATAAGAGAGAGAATGCTATATATTCTTGAGAGAGAATAGCAAATCCCCTCAATGAGAGAGGAGCTCTTAATTTATAGTGGGATGGATTAAGGTTATCATTACTGAATCTGTGAGTTGGTGGGATTATCCGTGCAAATCCCTCTTTATGTCACATTGCCCACCTTCTAGAGTGATTTACGAGATTTGGAGCAGGGATTGGACACGTGGGAGCACCACAACTTCTGGTTGGTCTGGCACGCACCCACTATTCTGACAAAAGCATGCTGCTCCTTTTCCCTTGCGACTCAGCTGCGGGTGCACTCATTCTCTGACTTTTTGCATGCTGACTGGACCTTACGTCAGCCCTACATTCTTTAGGCATAACAGAAGTCCTCTAGTTTTTAAGGTTTGAGGATTAAACCTTAGAAACTATAATTCATGCCTTGACTATATGCTTTTGGGAAATTCTGGTGACTACGACCTGCCTGAAGATTGGTCGGGGTAGCGCCCTTCATGAACACGACCTCGCATGGTCATTGCTTGTTAAGGATGAGCGACCTGACTTCGTCAGGCGTTGCCTGTTGCATTTTCAATATGGATGCATTTAATGAAACAGTCCCTGCTCTGACAGACATGTCCTGTGCGTAATAAATGCCAACTAGGCGCATTAAATGCGTGATATGCTAACACAATATTCTTTATCAGAACATTAAATGCAAGGCATGCTGAATCAACACCCCTTATTAGAGCATTGAATTCAGGTTGGGGCGCAATTAATGCTGAGCGAGAGAGTGTCGTCGCTTGAGTTTTTCAACGGAAAAAGATGACTGTTTGGTTTTCTGTAATCATGACGCTCACTCTTCCTCACTGATCTATGACACGTGGTCATGATCAACAATGAGAAATTTTTGCCGCCCAAACGTCATTTTGATTCCAAGAAAAACGAGCGTTGTTTCATGCGTTATATAAACTAAGATCTTTCCCAGGCAATGTCACCACACTTGTCTTTCTCACAGCGAGTAAGAGATTTTCGCAAGCTTGGAGCCCTTGCCTTCCAAACCAACGTGTTTCTGCTATTTGAAGCAGAAGAAGCCATTTTGGCATTCTGAAAGGTAAGAATCTTTCTCTGCTTTTATTTTTTATTCCCGTGGTTGGTAAATGGCATTAGTCTTCCGGTAGCTAATCGGAGACGAGCGCTCATGTCAGGTTCGAGCCATAAATGGCGGCTCGAATCATTCTGTTAGGGTTTTCCTAGGTTTTAGGGAGTTTGTTTCCTTCCATGTCATCGTACGAAGTAGCATACGATGGCTAAATGACCCCCATGCTTGTCACTTTTGCAGACCAGTAGAATAGACCCCTCAATGACCAGATCCGAGGAAGGAACAGGTTCGTCCTTGCAGGGTGCTCCGAGTGTCACTCTTGAGGTCTACTCGGTACTTACTGGGGAAGAGCTCGAGCAGGTGATAAAATAGTACGGTATCGACGTGGATGTTTTCTGCGATGTGGCCCACTCGTCGCGATACCCATCAAGCGGGATGGTCGCGAGGAGATCATCAAGGGTAGGGGGTTGATCCCCTTCCACCCTTTTATCAGGTTGGTCTTGGATCACTTTCGGATAGCACCGATGCAGCTCACTCCAAACGCGTATGTTATTGTTGTTGCCATGTACATCACGTGTCGCGAGAACGGGCTGGGCGAGCTAACCACGACGGAACTCGGCTGCTCGTATTTCTTGAAAAAGAGTAAGGACAAGGATTCTTATTACTTGTCCAGGCGACCTTCCATAGCCGAGGGGATACAAAACTACCCTAGCAACGCGACGGCCTTCGAAATGAAGTTTTTCTTCTTTCGTTACGATGGCCATTGCCGCTTTCAGGACCCGAGTAGGCTCTTTTCCCTTGGCGAACTCATTAAATTTGGAATGCGTTTTCTTTCTAACGATCTGCTTCTTTTTTGGCAGTTAATAAGACGACCGACTTAGGGCTGCTCTTCGATCCGGATAGGATCGTATCTTTTGGCTTCCTGCCTGAAGCCAGTCACGATGCGAAAAAGCTCGGACGACCGTGAATCTGCGGAAATACGGTTTCTTCAATGCAAACGCGTCTTTAGAGCCCTTATTGAGTAAGTCTTGTTAACTGGTTCTTTTCTGGTTGTGAAATGAAATACTTTTGCTAACAATGCTTGCATACAACGACCATGCCTCCGAAGGAGTCAGAGCCGCTGCGACGAAGGCAATTCAATTTTTTGCGGTCAAGGACCGCCAAGGCTACCGATGCTGCTCCTGCTGATCCCCCGGCTGAAGGTGCCACATCGAGCCCCCCGGTGCGACCTGCTGGAGCTTCTCAACATCAGGCTTCGGAGGACGCACCAATCCGTCCTGCTAAAACTTCCCAGCCATCGGCTGTTTGCCCGAAGCTAAAGACAACGACTCAGTGAGCGAAGAAAAAGAGAAGGCAAATTCAGGTCGAAGAGTCGGAGACCGAATCCGAGGGCGATCAACCAGGGAGGTCGCAGCCAGACGTAGGGAAGAGGTCGGGTAAGGAACCGGCGGGCGACACGATCTCTGTTGGAGGTATGAAGAAGGAAACTCCAGTGCTGGACTCGCTGAGGAACCTGCCGGAGTACTTGCAGCTGATAGTCGACACTTTGTTAGACTGCGGACTCTCGGAGGCATTCGAGGAGTTCGTAGGTTCCAGCGATGTGGATCTAATGTCCACATCGCTCCAGCACTTAAGCAAGGTAAACGAACTGTCCTAGGCGAGGACTTCCTTAGTTCCTTTTGATAAGCTAACTTGATATCTTTTCTTGTTTGCAGGCCTTGCTTTCCATGCAACTGTCCTTGGAGAAGGTTGGGCTGGGAGCTGCAAAGGGGGAGGTCGCACTGAAGGAAGAGAACGCATAACTCAAGCGAAGCCTATAAGCCGCTAAAGTAGAAAGGAACCTATCCTCTTAGTCGGCGAACCGGTACCTGAGCGAAATGGACGCGGCTCTTCGTACAGTGGACTTCCAAAAAGCTAAGCTTGAGAAAGATGGGGAGGAAATAAAGGAACTCCAAAGGACCATAGCTAGACTCTCCAAGGAGGTCGGGGAGAGGGACCAGGAGCTCAAAACGACTTTTCTGCGGGCCTCGCGAGCAGAACAAGAGAGGGATGCCTCCGAGAAGCAAAGGCAAGCTCTCGAGGCCGAACTCCAAGCAAGTCAGGGAAAAGTTACTTCCCTGACCAAAGAGATGTAGAATCAAGCAGCGGAGGTCAAGGAGAAAGCTGCCGAGTGGGCGATCGAGTCTATTTACGCCTTGAGGCCGAAGAATCCGCTCATTGATATGTCCGACCTCCCAGAGGACTAGCGGGAAACTCTCATGTCCATGGCGCGGTAGGATGATAAAGCGGTGGCCGCCCAACAATCCGATCAAACAGAGGGTTCGGGACACGCCTCGGAGAAGCCCCCAACCGACCAGCCTTAGGAAGATAAGGTCGGTCCTCCAGGGGTTAGATTAGGGCTAATAGTTGTATCGTTTTGCCTGCTGTACTCTTTTCATTAACGAAATATATTTTGCTTTTACAATTTCTGTTCGCTTTATTATACATGTTTACATTCTAAGTGCCCATAACATTGGAACAAGTCTTTGCCAACATGATAACACATTTTTTACAAACAAAATTACATGTAAAGACTATTACAAGTGAACAGAATAATACTGATTTACATTTACAATGATAAAAAAATATTCTTTACAAGGAAAAATGAGTTCGGAATTACTGATAATAAGGTCGAAGGTGTTCAGCATTCCAAGCTCACGGTACTATGGAACCATTTAGCATTTTTAGGTGGTAAGTCCCCGGCCTTATCACTTTGGCGATGCGGTAAGGGTCTTCCTAGTTTGGTCCCAACACTCCTGCACTTGGTTTTCTAGTACCAA